CCCCGGGCGGCCCGCGCGGGCCCTGGCACACGTGGCTGTTCGCGACCCGCGGGCCTCACGGTCCCTTGACCGAAGGGTCCCCCAGAGCCCCGCGCCCGGCTCCGCCCGGCCTGACCGCCCTCCTTCCTCCACCCCGGGAAGTCCCACGGTTTGTCCAGGGCAGCAAAATCGCTTTTTATAGCCGTTTCTTTAAAATGCTCAAATAAAAGTTTAAGGAACGAAAGACAGAGCAGCGGTCCCGGCCTTCCCGTCGGCGCTGGGAGTGGCCGTGCCGGGGCCTCGCGCGCTAAAGGGCTTTGCCCCTTCCCAGGCTGGCTCGTCACTGCCCGCTCTGCTCCAGCAGAGATTTGCAGCTCTTCTACCAGCCCTGTGTGCGAGCCCCGCTTCGGCTGGGGAGCCCGAGGACCCAGACCCTCGCTTCCTGCCCGGTTTAACTGAGCCCGGTGACATTGCCCCCTTCCCAACTTCCCAAGCCCGGAGAGGCGGCTGCCTCCTAGCCCCGCAGGCCTCCTCTGCCTTTCTCTCTGTCTCCATGTGCCTTATTCTCTGTGTCTGCGTCTCTCTCTGTCCCTTTTTCTGCCCATTTCTCTCTCTGTCTCTCTCTCCCCTTTCCGCACCAGGGAGAGTTCTCAGTTTAGTGTGAAAGGAAAACAGCTCGGCTGAGAAGTCTGGTTAGGTCCTGAGCAGCCCTGGGCTCGGCTCAGCCCCGAGGAACAGAGGCACCAGGGGCTGCGTCGGAAAGTGGAGCTCACACTCACGGTGTAGGCCCATCTCTGCCTGGGGAGACCCCCAGGGACACTTTGTGACCTTCACAACCAGCAGCTCAGTTCAACAGTCTGGAGACACTTCAGTGTCATAGCTCTTCTATTTTAAAATACTTTACAACAACAAATTAAACGAGTAGAGTCTGTGATACTCGTGAGTGCTGGAGGAACATGTTGCTGAGGGAATTCGAGATGCCTTTCTCATGCCATACTGTCCACTCCCCAGAATCCTCACCTGGGCAGTGACCTGCCTTCAGAAGTAGGTTAAAATAAGGCACGGGGACATTCAGGAGTATTCCCAATGTCACCAGCAGGTTGGTAGGGAAGTGGCAGTCAGCATCTCTCTCTCTTTTTAGGTTGGCTGAATGAGAACCCAAATGAAAAAATAACCAATTCAGGAAACAGCACTCAGGGTGCTGATATATTTTCAATTTTTTTCTTTTAAAAATCAAGTCCGTGGTAAGGCTAATGAAACCAATTTACTAATAACGTAAACAAAGAAGAGTATTTATGTGTGAATATCTATTGCAGGACCACCCAGGCTCACTCAGACTTGTGTTAAATATCGTGCAACAGGATTCACAGAAGTTAATATAATCCTTGGTATATTTATTCATTACTGAGTATGGAAAATCATGTCAATGCTTCTTTTCATATATGTAAAAAAGTAGGCTTTGTTTTATGTGACTTTGTTTTTAAAAAAATTACCTGCTCTTCTGAAAGATTCTTCTATTTCACATTTTCCTTAGGGTGGCAAGTAAGAGAAGTTGATATGTTTTCACAGCAAATTTGATGGCTGTTAGCTTGACATTAATCTTGCTGCAGTAGAATGTGACACTGTTGGAATTGTCACTGCAGTCTTCAGTGATAGAACACAGTTATACAGCTCCTGGGCTTTATGGAGATAATAAAATGTGTACACGCTCAGATCTGAGCAATTTTTGACAAACCCTCTATATTGCTGTATAAAGCAAAACTATATTTATACATTTAAATACTTTTGCTGCTGCCTTTTGTGAAAAAGCCCGCACAGGTGAGACCACCTGTGCTCGCTCAGATCTGAGCAATTTTTGACAAACCCTCTATATTGCTGTATAAAGCAAAACTATATTTATAAATTTAAATACTTTTGCTGCTGCCTTTTGTGAAAAAGCCCGCACAGGTGAGACCACCTGTGCTAACCACCAGACCCCGTCATGGTTTAACTCTGTGAAGTTCTTGATGGAGCTGAGAGACAGAAATCAGATATTTAAAAAGCCTCCAGTATACATTCCCTAATGATTTGGTGGCTTGTTATCTCAACTGGAATTTAGCAAATTATAACTTGAGCGGATGACAGAAGTAGCCTGTATTTGTGTGAGACAGAGTCAGTCCAACAGATTAATGAATCAGTGACACTTATCAAGAGATTGACAACATCTATCAGTCAAACGGCACTTTACTATTTACAAAGTGCATTTTTCTGAATTGTTATTTGTGGTAGTGATCCTATGCTAACGTGGCACTCCGCTGACACTTTCCTATCGAAATAGTTTTGGTGCCTTCATTTTTAATTATTTGATCTTAGATCAAGGTGACAGTGAATGTGGCTCATTATGTTTAGGAGCCACAAATTCCAGAGGTGGGCTTTTGAGAATTATGTGACACAGTTTTGGCAATTCTGTGCAAATTGTAGAGGTCTTTGGCATTACTTTGCTGAATATTAGAAACATGTTGTCTTAGGGGGAAAAAAATACTCCTGGGTTGTAGATTGTTGGCTTTATTTTTAGCAATGCGTCATACCTCCTCCCAGCAGAGAGTCAATCATCTAGCACATTCCCCAGTGTGACACAGCAGCTGGCAGAGGTGGGGCCTGAAAAAGGCATTTTTTCAGTCCTAAAACCCAGGATTTAAGAATGAAGATGCTTCTCAAATCTTGCAGTAAAATACAGTGTATTCTTGGTGATGGGCATCATAGCACTTGCTGGAAGTCAAGCCCAAGAGCCATCGATCTGCCTAAATTACAGCACTAACGTCGGTAGGATGGAGTCGTACTTACAGAGGGCTGGAGCCTATTGTCCAAGGCACACATCACGTAAAGGCAAGATTGACCCTTTAAAAATCTCTTTTAAAAACTTCACCTCAAAAAATCTCTCAGGAGGGCATGTACCATGACTTCATTTTAGTGGTGTGTTTAACGTTGCCGCAGCAACAATGTCTGATACCATCTTTCCTTTCTATGCATATGGTGGATGGGTCCCCACCTTCCTCTACTCTTTCTTCCTGAATTGCAGCGGATAAGAAGGTAAAAATGAGCTTCCGCGGACCCTGGCAGCCCTGGTCTGTGAGATGCACTCACAGGAACATGGAAGGGAAACCAGCAGACGCTCTGCACTTCTTTGGTCTGCCCAGGGCAGAGATGTTTGGTTTCTTGGCAGCACGGTGCCAAGTCACACCAAGGCATTGTTTTCTGGAGAGCAAAACAGCAGGAGTGACATGGCTTGGGAACTGGCAGGAAGAGCAGCGGCAGCTCCTTGATTCCAGGGTGATTCTGGAATCACTGTTTTCCTGATGCCATGAGGCAGCCGCTGCAGGTCTGCAGTGTGATTTGGAAGTCAGTCTCTAAAGCTCAACCTAGAGCCTGTTTATTCAGCTCCACAAATGATTCTCTCATAGCCTCTAATACCTTGTTTCCTGCTTAAACTAGCCAGTGTGGGCCCTGTTCTCTATAACAGAACCCTGTCGGGGACACCTACACTTCCAGACTGTGGTTTGGAAGCTGGACACTAGGGCGATCCACCCCCTTTCCCCCCGTGGTATTGATTTCTTGACATCACAAACATCCGCTTGTAATGTGGAACTAACATTCGCCTTTGGCACACATTTATGAATGCCTTTAAGATCTAATCAAAGTTGTTCTTGCAACAAATTCATGATTTTTTGTAACTTGGAATATATACCAAATTTCAATTAAAAAATAACAATGGAAAGATTGCCAGCCAAGAATACTCTACCCTGCAAGGCTGTCCTTC